TACTATAGTCTAAAGCTGGGTACCTGTCCTTGCCAACTAACTCTTGTTCTTCCAGGGGTAGATTCAGGTTTGGTTGTAACAATCCTAGCTACAGGTAATGGTAGCTATGCTGCTAGTAACCTGTCAACACTAGGTTGGGCAGGACAATGGAAACCTGTTTACATCCTGACCAGCAGGCAAATCCAGACTCCTATCAATTACACCATGTCCTTCCTCTTTGTCTTTCTAATCCCTAGGCACTGTTGTTATTATCCCTGGTCCATCAATGTAGTCAGGGTAAGATATGTGCTGGTGGACTCAATGTCAAACTTACAGCTACAGGGGAGTCAGTTTACTTAAGAATAACACAAAGAATGTTTGTGAGTGTATACCTCATTTACTAATTGGACCCAGACTCTACAAAGACCTTCCTTAACCCTAACCCTCCTCAATCCTTCACCTGTTGGAGGACTGAGGAGTGTTAGGGTTAATAAAGAGAACAATGGGACTGAAGCAACAGAAAACACCTTCAAGTACATGTACACTCTAAAGATCAGAAATTGTGCAAGTCTTACATAATCTTAAGGTACATTGGATGGAACAGTCAAACTTTATGTGGTAAGGAATGTAGCATTGGACTTACCTGTAGTAGCGACTCTGGAGATATGTTGAACACACAGCTTTAGACACATGACTAGCAGAACCAAAGTCAATTACCTTGACTCTATATGGTTGCCTTGCTGGATCCAGCAACATGATATTCTCTGGTTTCAGGTCAGCATGGATTAGACCAAGTGTCTTAAGCTTCAGGAGAGCCACTAAGACTTGCTGAAGCACCGGTCGGATATGCTTCAACGGCAATGGCCGAAATTTGCTCTGCTTCAAGAAGTCATACAGGTTTTGCTCCAACAGTTCAAACACCAAACACGTGTGATTCTTATGCTGAAAGCATTCATACGCACGGACAAAGTTGAATTCATCTGCATTTTCAGCACTTAATCTAGATAAAATGCTAACCTCGATTTGACCTTGTCGTGCATACGAGGGGTGGTTCTTGAGAATTTTGATGGCAACTATCTCGTTAGTTCCACGCTTCCAACATTTAACAACTTGTCCAAATGTTCCTCTGCCAAGAAATTCCAAGACCTCATAACGGTTTGTCAAGGAACATAGTACTTCATGTTGGACTAGTTGATAATCCCCTTCCCCTCCAGATGAACTCTTGGAGGTTGTCGATTTCTTCACATTGTTATTGTTCTTACTTGTACTTGGATGCTGTTGCCTGGTTTGTTTCTGCTCATGACGGTTATCCAACTGCTCATCACTTTTACGTTTCATTCCGCACTTCTGATAGGTATCTAGCAACTTGATGGTAGAAGCTCTGATGACGTTCTGTGATCGTCCAGTAGTGTTATTCTTGTTGTTTATAAAAGTGTAGGTAACTCCACTCGGAACGATGGTTGAGTTGAGGAGCACCGTACATAGACCGTTTGCTGATTGGCCAGAGTGTGTGTTGGCTATGACTACATCGTTGTTGTTAAGGTTATTGGTGTTATCAGGGTGACACTTCTTGATTGAGCAGAATGCACTGATCTGGGAACCAAACTGTGAATTTTCATGCGATGTCATACCTGTGAGGAGGAGAGGCAGAAATCAGTTAGTGACAGTGGAACGTGACCTAATGATGGAACAGTCTAAATGCACGATACAAACATGTGGGAAATCAATGGTACCACAGATGATTGACTGTAGTCAGCCAACCATGGGCATAGAGCTGGCTTCAGTGTTGTAACACTGTAGGATACAACCAGCATACAGGTACATGTTGGCGCTTTATTGTCCAGGTTCAAGCCCTAAACTTGAAACCAAGGCTAAGTAATAAAATTGTCTGTCATACATATTGCTTGAACATAACTAAAAATTTGGAAAGACCGAAGAAGAGAACCCTATGCCGCAATTCATGTAGCGGTCCATGTACATGTACATCACGAAAATTAAGATGAAATTACTGAATGCCATGGTAAAGTACATGTACATACTGCTAATCACAGTCTGCTTGAATAAAACAAATCTCATTTTAAAATTATAACATACATGTAACACGCATGATCTTATCCACTAAGGCTGATTCAGAGATAAAGATCCACAAAGCACATAGTGATACATTTTGCATCTTGTAACAGCATTCATACATTTCTTTCCTGATGATTACTTCATTCACATATTGCTTAAAGGCAACACTGGCTACAGAGGAAATTGATGTGGTACTGAGTCACAGCAGCAAGGCATCCTGGGAATGGATTCACCGGGGACTTCAGGGTATGTCATAAGCTCAAGCTATCACCACATTGAAAGCAACTCATGTTATTTGTACATGTATCGCAAAAGATTGTGAGAGATGTGATGAAAACAAAGTACACGTATGATTCCAATACATGTACAGTTGTACATATGACCACACTGCACAGAAGACTAGCATGACTAGACAGAAACGGATAAGTCAAACGTTAACAAATGGAATATTGGAAATTAAAATTTGCATTTCATCAAGCTATATCTGTATAAATAATCATATTATAGGTGCAGGCACACCAGGATGGTTACTATCATTTCAATTGAGAGTTATTACCAATCTTTCTATTGAGATTTACAACCATTGGTTGAAACCTAATTGGTATCCAAATGGTTCTACATGACATTTCTCTTTAGTAACCAGAGAGCAGGCATGTGGTATGTGCTTGTAAATATTGACATCAAGATTTACATTATGGAGGAAAGGGGACAGCTCTTGGTAGCCAGCTGCCATTCCAAACAACCCATAAACACAAAGGGAACTGATTCTAATAAGCTGACATCACCTGATGGTGGTACTGTGTACTCTACTCACACAGTAAGGTGTGTCAATACATGTAGGCACACACGGATACAATAGGTATTATGTATGCACACTGCTATTGTAATTGTTCAAATGGGTGTCACTTCTTGAACTGTATTGAAAAGCAACAGGCATGAAACAGGGTAAAAGTTGTAGTTTGATCAACATACATGTATAACAATTGCTGCCTGCTGTGATGTAGGACATGACGACGTTTTGAATACCTGAGAGACCCACTTCCCCTCTGGTGCTAAAATCATAGAGTACAAAACGTGTACCAAAGGGTGTTCAAAATGTCATCTTTTCATCATTGTAGTCAAAAGTTTTTTTGTCATACCCATTTCTGTCTTGAGGATGTTTTTCACTTCTTTTTGAAAGAACTCGAGAGCGACAAAGGAATCTTTGAACATTAGCAATGAGCAGTCCCTCCATCATCCTGTACACTACAGGGGTACATGTACGTACTGTAAATGTAATAGTATACAATCATGTGAAATCATGCAACATGGCTTATGTCTAATGGTGAGTGTGACAGGTGGTGATCACATGATCATTCTGGGCCAATGAAGAAACAGTCATTGAAGACAAGTACCAGCATGGCATTATGCTTGTTTTCCATGTGCACTTTCCTATGGGAGAGAGAAAGGATAGGAACCACTGAGCTCTCACACGAAAAAAGCCTGACTTCGTTTCAAATATATGAAACATTTCACCGGCAAATTTTGTCTGGTTTTCACAGACTTCGTAGAGGTCCATTAAGATTATGACTATACAGGCAGTGTTAAGGTAAATAATAAAAAACAAGTTTTGAAAAGTCCCTTGGGGTTGTAAGCATTGCAGCAATTTTACACAGCATTTTCCTCCTTCCCACATTCATGGAATTTTTCCCTTTTTCAATAAATGGATTTATGGGAGTGACTGGTTATCAAATTTATATTGCAGGCATTCCAATGCCAACTACATGCACATGTACAATTCTCTTGATTGGTCTTTAATATGAGAAAACCTCTTCAACACATTTAACTGGCTCGGCCCTGGGCTAAATGTACATGTAGGTCTGTTTACAAGGATCAAGTAGGGCCCACAAGTACATGTTGGACCTGAATACTTGGAACTATAAAATCACTATCAGCATGTAGGCACGTAATCTAGTACACCACTCAATAGTCTGGCTACAAGCTAGAGACAGACAGTCTAGAGACAGCCTCAAGCACATGTTTAGTATACGATGCAACAGGGCCTAAGTTTCCGACCAGCAGTTAATAAGCACTGCGGCAATCTAAGGCTGCATCAGAATCTGTTGTCTAGAGCATAGTCTAGATCTTCATTCCATTACAAATATGCGGAGACGCTGAGACGTGCAGACAATACACCAAGCTATAGCTCTGGAAGTCCGTTTTGGGCACAGCCCTAAACAGATACATGTAACTGCCATGTTTCATGCAGAATCTTGAAATAAATACACAATGAATGAAAAAGCATACAAGTTAAATCAATTCTGGAAGAGCTGTTTTGTTGCTGTTGTTAACTGTTGCAAAAGAGTGAAAACAACTGAATTGCACTTTTTTGTATGTGAACTTTTGAACATGCTGTGAATATCTACATGTATGGAGACATTTGCACGACAGGACATCATACACACCTCTTGTTTTCCCTCCCAAGATCAGACATTCGTACACCAGAGCTTCCATTTTCTACATTGCCACTTTTTGATATCTAATAACAGGCAACCATATGCATTTATGTGTCAAACAGTAAGAAATTTCACATCAAGTTTCTGTACCTGGCATTTTAAAGGGTTTTCCACTTGCTATCATTGTACTCTACACCTGTCTGCAACTGTTTCCCCCCCCCAAACATCTTGCTGTCCAGCATAAACATGACCCCTCCATTGTGCACATCTTGCCCAGGTCAACTTACTACTGGTAATACATGGAGCTTCCTGTCAGGTCAACTCCATAATTGTTTTACAGTCAAGCACTACCCTGTACATGTAGGCATATCCTTGTTCCTATCCTCAATCCAAATGTACACTGCACATCCCATGACTTAGACACTAACATGAAAAATATTTCATGTTATTTTTTTTACATACTAGAAGTACAGGTTTGTGATGGCTCCATGCAAGGCTGTACATATGTAGGTTCTGCAATGGCAAAATTTATAAAATAGACATAAATTATTAAACCTGAACATTAACTATGAGATGATCAATTTTTCCTACTATATCACAAATTTACCATTTTCAGAAGTAGCAAGTTTCCCTTATTGGAGACACCCTACCATACATGTAGAAATCTAACCTTTGTTTATTACTATATTAACTTGCCACAAGACACTTGCAAACTACACAGGAAATGACAGAATTGGTAACAGGGACATGTTCTGGTGACCCCTAACTACAACAGGTCTGAAAAAAGCAATCGCCCGGAAATATGTTTAGAGTGGCCCACGAAAACAAAGAATCGGGTCATATCATTGGACAGTAAGAAAAAGTACAAGGGACCAGTCGACCTTGATAAATGTCCTTTTCAATCGATTGGCCTACAGGGCGTGTTTCTTACTGATGTTGCTCTTTTTCTTGACAGTAACATGCTCCTAAGCAGAAACATGTTTTTTGTCAGGGTCACAAAAACACAAACGTCATGAACAATTACTTTTTCAGTCAGGTACAGTGTACCATGTTCAGTGCATTACAAAAAGATTGTTTCAGGGTTTTTTCTTCTTCAAAGGCTATTTATGCTGACTGATGATGTGTAAATGCTAAGCCTCATAAAAAAATCAAAAATTATTCACTTCCTTCCTTTTTTCCTTTAAGTTGGTAAACAGGAAATACCAGTATTTCTCTGCTATCTTGACACCATTAACTTGACATGAGATTGTGACACACTTTTTACTACATATCATGGACTCATTTTACTGCATGAAATAAAAACAAAAAATAAAAACCACTGTCAGCACAAAAACTTTCAGCTGTTTCAAGTGGTCTGTGGATGACATGCACCCATGAAATACCTGGCTGTTGTTTTCGACACATTTCATTGCATCCATGTATACACATGGCTTCATTAGAGTAATACTAATAAAACAGCACTTGGGATCACCATCGTTTATGCTGTCTCGTTCCCACACCATACAGATCCCGACTGTGTTTAGCATTGCTCAACTATAGGGAGTTAATCGCTGTAATAAACGGATGGCCGATGTGAAGATGACCAAATTGAAAGCATCATTTCACAGACGTCTACAAACTGGAAATCACCCATATTAATACATCAATGGTCAGATGGGGTGAATAAGCCATACATGCGAAATGGGGCTCATAGAAGGTATTTTTGTGGAGTCTCCACTTTTTGGTGTTTCGGTTTACTGTTGTGGGGCCAAGGATACAGCGGTACCAGTAGTCCAGTAGACTGGCTCCCAGTCTGGGGCTAGCAGGGCTCAAAAACACAAAAACTCCAGCAAACTGATTGCTACTGGTAGCTTGGTCAGTCCTTGAGGTTGGGGCACAATTTGTGATGGTTTCCATTGTTAAATGGGTTCCATAAAAATGAACAGCTACTTCCCTGCATGTGGATTCTAAATTATGCATCAAGGTGTTTTTATGTAACGGGTTCTGCCCTTACCCAATGTATACATTGATAAACACTGTATGTTCAGTGCTTGTCCGAGAGCTTACGAA